ATAAAAATATCCTATTTCACGTGATTCATCAATCTGCTGTGCTACTTCATCCAGTTTGACCAAATTTGTCAGGTGGTGACTTGGACTGTCACGTTCTCAATGTGACTCACATGTACCTTTGCAAAAACGATTTTAGCATGATCCGACTCAGAAATGTTCATAGATCATGTTTGATTATTTTCCCTTCCCTGATTTGCATACGACGGGAATAAAGTTAAATGCTTTAAGGACAAGACGACTTTTTCAACCCATTTATAGGTAAATGACGTCACGGTGACGTCATCGGCTGCCCGAACATTGCAAAACTTGAGCTTTCAATTACGCCATGTGTTTGTAGCACAGGGACAAAATCTCAAAACAATATCTCAAATATCAACGACGTTACACTGCAATTCATTAAAAAGGTACCATTCTCCAAAAAAGATGAACCACGCAGTTGCACGTGCTCTGGAAGTGGTGCAACATTAGTTAGAGGTGCGCACCGGTCAGATTCGGATTCAGCGGTCATTTTTGTCCCAGAAACCACCCTTTGCTAAGCTCTACCCAATTTTGCGTTATTCGGCCCAAAGTTGGGCCTCCTTCCCCTGACTATAACGTCATGTCATTTTTGCGGCCTCTCCATTAGGCATAAGTCAATGGGAGAAAATTGAAAAGCGTCTGTTTTTCACGAAAGCTATTCTAGACACTCTCAAACATCGAGATGTAGGTAAAATTGACACACTGAACCGGAAAATGGCAGCTCTGACCCCTCGTCATGTCCCCGAGGTCATCTCAGGTCACGAACAGAATCTAACAGTTTTTCGCTAATAACTTCTGATAGAGGCGTACTAGAGCGCTGAAAACGCTTTAGATGTGTTTGGCTCGACGGTTGCGGATCGACTGATATACAGCATGACCTTTTCCGGTCAGGTCATGACCTTGACCTGAGGTCAAATTTTCAAGTTGACTTTTCAAGGTCAAATTATAGTTCATTCGACGCGTCTCGACAAGAGGGACACGATGCTGGCAAAAGTAATGTCATGGCTCTTTCTTTTGGGTCGAAAGTTAATGCCGAAAAAAACACTTTTCGTAAAAACGGCTATTTTTGGAGTTTTTGCCCTCGGAGGCTAAACCGTTGACCTGAGGTCAAATCTGAGAACATTATTTCAGAAAGGTCTGTAAAAGGGCTATCGAATGCGCTTTTCCGCGGCGCTGTAGCTCTATCGGTTCCCGAGATAGCAGTTGGCAGTTTCCAAAATGTTGAAATAGTCAACATTTTACCTTTGGTGACCTCTGGTGACCTGACCTTTGACCTGACCTAAAAAACGAAAAAGGGTTTTCGTCCTTATTTTGGACGTTCTTTCGATTGTCGCTTGCCGCGTGTCGCTACGTGGCCCAGGAGCCGAGTTAGAAGGGGGGTGCTCAGACACCCCCCCCCCCGGCCTGGCGCGGAATCTCGGAGTGGAGCACCGGCCCGGCGCGGGTTAAGTCATGGAAAAGGTCAAGTAGCATATCAACCATTTTTCGACTTTTCATATCGTCGAGGTGAACGCAACTGAGGTATTAATATCGTTTTATTATGTTTCTATCTAAAGTTATTTTCAAAAAATCTGCTGGAGACCTTGCATGACCTGAGATGACCTCAGGGACATTAACCCTCGCCCGTATAAGGGGGGTCGAACGGACCCCCCCATGGTTTTTCTCGAATAACTCGCGTAAAAAGCTGCCGATCGCGACGAAACTCTCAGTACCCTCGCGTTCATCAATTTCACACCTACCCTGAAAATTTCATGACCCTGACCCAAATGACCTTTGACCTGTGACCTACTTTTCGAGACCATGTTGCTGGAATCGCGATTCGGCGTATGTCGGCTCGCTTTAGCCGCGCGTTTGCAGTCTTTACGTGGTTTCAAGCGTTCAAACATGTGAATTGATGCTGCCCCCATGCATTAGGGTGGGTGTCAAGGTCACCTTAAGGTCATGTCAGGTCATTGACCTTTGATGACCTCGGTTCACTTTTTCGAGTTTTACATGTTTCTAGGCCAGTTTTTGGAGCTGAATTCGAATTTAGCAACCATTTGAACATTTACGAAGTAGTTTTGGTGCCTTCGTAACATGTTACGAAGCTGTCAGAGGCGGTTGCCACCTACTACGAATACCCTTACTGGTTGACCTGACCTGACCTGACCCGACCTGGCCTAAATACATGAAGACATCATCTGTGATCAAAACTAACATGATATTCGTGATCAGCACCCCGAAAAACCCCATAGCAGCCACACTTTACGATGTTCTAACAGGTCCCGATTTTCCCGCCTTTGGGGTCATTGACCTGACCTGCAAGGTCAACCAATGACCTAGGACCTTCAAATTGGGTATCATCGGCATCCTCTCGTCACGGGCAACATGCTGGTTTTTCCGCGAAGCTCTAGCTCGATCAGGTGCGAAACGGCAAGGGGGGGGGGTCCAACGGACCCCCTCCCCCTCCCCCCTTATACGTTCGCGGCTGGAAAAACACCAATACGGGCGAGGGTTAAAGGACCTAGGAATGCAATTTTCCACTTCAGTATGCCATGTATGTGTACTTATCTACCTGTATCTCGATGTTGGAGTGTGTAGTACGACTTTATCCAAAAAGAGCAGTTCAGTTTTCTCACATTGGCTTATATGTAATGGAGAGGTCACAAAATTGACCCGACATTAGGTCCCAGATGTGACAATCCTAAGATATACAAATAGTTAGTGCTGATTTCCTCATGCAATGCCCCGAATTTCCAAATTTGTGGGTGTAAACTGTAGGAAAACAGAATTACAAAGTTTTTTTGGAGGCATAGCCACTTAACTTGACCTGGGGAACTGACGTTATGTGACCTGGGATCAAAAATAATTCACAGACAATGCGAAATTGATGTGTCATAATATACCAAGTTTCGTGGCACTCTCCAGTGTGCACAGCTTTTGACACACGCAAAAAAAGGTTGGATGTGGCCAAAAACGCATCCCCCTAGTTATGCTTTGCATTCCTCCGTTGTTAACCCTTGAAATTGGGTATATTTTTATCTGACTGTGTCCAGGGACTCAGATGGTGGCAGAAGTGTTTTCCATGGATTTTTACCACTAAATGCTTTAAAAAGTTTGCCTCACAAACTTTAACCCGGCCGGGCCCGGGGGGTAATCCCAACCACCGCAGCCCGGGGGGGGGGGGCGTTTTTCGCCCCCCCCCCCGTCTAACTCCGTAAATAAGGGAGCTACGGAAACAAAAGCGATACCAAACGAAAGGTCCTTACGAGACGATTCTAAAGCAACTAAAATTTTTGACCTCAGGTCAATTTTCAAGGTCAGATGTCAAGGTCAAAGGCAAAAACCGGCACATGTGTAGTGATCTCAAAGTAAGCCTTCTAGAGGATGGCAGGATGCATCAAACCGGCAAAATTGGGTATCAAACGAACGAAGAGAATCTGAGGATTCCAAAAATGTGCTCAAAATCAAAGGTCAAGGTCAAGGTCATGCTCAAAATTGACCTCAAACTTTGCACTTTTTCGTACATCTTGCGTGCTAACTTCCAAGACGTTTTGAAATGTTTTGAGGCTTATCAGTTCCCTATTTGTGGTTCATCTTACGATACAAGGCTGCTCAAAGGTCAAGGTCACAGAAAAGTATCCTTGCTAGAGGCTATTTCACTAATTCAAGTTAGTAATAATAAATAAGACAATTTTGCCATCCGGAAGCTCTAAATGAAGGCTTAGAGGAAAATAGATGCCAGATTCGTGATCAGCGGGTACAAATCCATCATAAACGACCTTTCATAAGTCAAGGTCAACCAAAGGTCATTCGAGGTCACATGAGGTCAACATAAAATTTGACCTTTTCCAAACAAAATATATATCATTCGACGCGGCTTGACACGGCGAATGCGATGGTACCACTGCCGTAGCTCTAGGACCATTTTTGTCGAAGTTATTTGCGAAAAACTAAAACCACATTTCGGGGTCCTTGACCTGACCTCTGACCTCAGGTCAACAAAACTATTTTTCTATTTTTCTCTAGGTCAAACGCTACACAACCGTGCTCGTAATTTGTCTTTATCTCTAAAACTCTATTTTTAGCAGCTATTTGAAGTTCGCGTCTGTGACGCCGAAGTTTGCCTTGCAGGGGTCTAGAAAAATCGACCTTGTGACGTCATCAAGGGGGCTAGGTCAAACATTTTTACTTCAGAAGATGTCAAATTGATGGGAGAAAAGGTACTGAAAGTTTCGCTTTCCTATCTCTAAGCGTTCGGGAGTTATCGCAAATATTCGCCAGGGGGGCGAAAAACGCCCCCCCCGGGCCCGCGAGGGTTTATAGATAGGAAACCTCCAAATGAATCTCCAAATTTCAAAATCCCCCAAATAATGTTTTTTAAATATTATGTTTTGATAGTTTAAAACGTTTTTTAGAATCAATTTTGCTCTCAATATCATCGCTGACTTCACACTGCTCTTGAACACAGACATCTTCATGATTTAACAAATTCAGTGGGGGCAAACACATGGCCTTGCGCCCACTGCCTTGGGCCAATTGGGGCAGCGTACGTCTGACGTGCCCTCCACTGCACCACGGTGGTGCCGTCCATGAATCAAAATATAGCGTAGCATTAGCGTAGCGCGCGTAACTTAAATGTAAAACATCTAAATGTTCAGAAATCTACATAAAATAATAGCAAATATGCATATTATGTAGCCTGTAGGCTGCTGTTTTGTTTGAAAACACGACAACCCTCACGTTTTTGCAGTGTTGTTGTTTCCGGCAAACGTGTTCTGCGCGTGGGATGGAAGAACTGGTTAGCGTCCATTCGTGTGGTTTTCAGAGTCGCATACTTGTTTCTTTGTTGCCCTTCACAAAACACCTTTGCTAGCTATGCTTTGCAGTCGATTTTATCACCCACAAAAATAATGCGGGACGCGAGCATGCACACAGTTCCACATATTGGACACAAACGAGTCCCAAGAAAACTGGTTTATTCTTATCTACAGGGAGTTGGAGACGCCCTTAAATGGTTGCTTCTGATTGGTTGGAAGTTTGGGCGTGTCGTTTAGAACTGCAAGTATATAAGCAGATTTCATTTTCAGAAGGTATCATACTCGTCAAATCATAACTCATCTCAGCTCACGATGAAGTGCATTGTAAGTTGACACTGGGACGTGGTCACCTCAATAGCTAGACTTTTGTCTTAAACCCTCGCCTCATCTGACACGTGTGAGCAACGCAGGCTTATCGTGAACTATGACTTCTCATTTTCCCTATATTTCCTCACTATTTTCCCGTTTTGATGTAACTAATCTATAAATTTCTCGTTTCTATTTCTCACTTTCTTATACCGACAACGTTTGTTCCGATTTTTCAGGTGCTGTTGTTTGCTGTGGTCTCGTGCGCCTCGGCGTACTACTTCGTCACACCAAGTGCTTACTACGGCGGCGTTAGCCCTTACATCTGGGTAAGTACTCTATACCTTTTTAGCAAGTATAGGCAAGTACAGTGTATAAGTTACCAGACAATACGTCTAGAGCACAGCATTGCCCACTGTAATGTAACGGTATTTTGATTTTAAAGGGCTTCGTGAACAACTTCGATAATTATGCTATCGCCTTTGTTTAGGCGTTTCTTGAAATTTGGACGTATTCTTTTTTAATATGAACGCAGGTAAGCGATAAACTTAGTAAAAATGTGTCAAGGTAGGAGTGGCAAGTCGTGTGCCGTCCCGGTTGACCTAAGACCCGAAAGAACGCCCTCCAGGCTCCACAGTCCACACTGTAAACATATGGCTGACGGATCTCGTCCTAACCTGATCTTACTTTTTGATCCGCAGAGAAAGAAGCGGTCTGCCCCTGATGCCCCGGCTGAAGACCAGCAAGCAGACCCTGCCCTGCTCTACAACAGCTACCTTGGCTACCCCTACTCTTCGTACATCCACTATCTGAAGAAGCGCGAGGCTCCGGCTGAAGACCAGCAGGCTGACCCTGCCCTGTACTTGAACAGCTACTATGGCTACCCCTACTCTTCGTACATCCACTACCTGAAGAAGCGTGAGGCCCCCGCTGATGATCAGCAGGCTGACCCTGCCCTGTACTTGAACAGTTACTACGGTTACCCTTACTCTTCTTGGGCCCACTACCTGAAAAAGCGCGAGGCCCCGGCCGATGACCAGCAGGCTGACCCTGCCATGTTCTACAAGAGCTACTATGGCTACCCCTACTCTTCGTACATCCACTACCTGAAGAAGCGCGAGGCCCCTGCCGAGGACCAGCAGGCTGATTCGGCCATGTTTTACAGAAGCTACTATGGCTATCCATACTCTTCTTGGGCCCGCTATTTCAAGTAGATTGACGCCTAACTCGTGTTGACACCGACCCATTGAATATGATCCCGATCGATGCTGGACACAATGCTGGAGATTGAGGCTCACGCGCGTCGCCACTGTGTTTGTCAAGTGTGTCTAATGACATTCACGTTGTTCATAATAAAACATTGCAGCTCAATATGGTATTTGGTTGGCCACTTATCGTTGGATTTTCCTTTATCTATGATGTAACGATAAACATCATTTACGCCGCTTTAAAATGGGCCTTACCATAAGTTCAAGCATTAATTTCGGCTAGTCTAAAGTCGTAACATTTTCTACTACCCTGCCATGTCCTGTGAACCAGCAGCCAGGTAACAGCGAAATTTCGAAGAACTAGGGAATGGGTGCTATTTAAAAGAGGAGCACGGTGATGGTTCTTTATTTGGGAAAAATTCTTGGCTGTATCCTAGTCAAACCAATCATAGTATTTGATTATATTAAGTCGCCAAAAATGCATTCTTGAATCATTGCTGTCCGCCTACGATTCCCTCATCGCCGACGGCATTCGCCGATCCAATCGATCCACAATTAGAGCTTGCGATCGATTCCCGGTCTGTGACCACTGCCGGCATTGCCACTGACCGTTCAACGAGCCTGTGACGGTCGCGGGCCCTATAGCAGAGCTTCAACACCGGCCATCGACGGTCCCGCGCCGCTATTACCTCTGCTCCGTTATATAACAATGCCCAACAAGACTCCCCTTCGGTCCCCACCACCATTCTCGCAGCTGTTGCCGTAACAGGTCATGAGTCCACGGCAGCAGTGATCGATATTCAATCGGTAGAACGTCCGGCGTCATCGGAATCCGACCGATGACGGCCTGGCGCCGGTGCGTCATCGCTCAATTGCACGGTGGGCCGGTCAAACGCTCTGCACTCGGCACAGGTCGTGAGTCAGCGGGGCGTGTGGTGCAGGCGCACGACAGAGGCATTGGTGAATGGATGGGCGCAGCCGCTACTGACAGCTCCTGAGGCCGTTACTGGCAGTTGCTACTGCTAGAGCTTCTGGGAGCTGCTGTAAGCTGTTAGAGCTAGTCAGAGCTATCCAGAGCCGCTGGAACCGCTGGAGCTATAGGTACTGAGCCACTATATGGTGCTGCTACTGAAAGCTGAAGAAGCTCTGAGAGCTGTTGGCACCGGTAGCTCCTGATAGCTGCTTCCAGGTCTGCTTCTGAGACTTATAGGGACCAATACTGATCATTGCGGAGGTCAATATTGACAGCCGCTACCGCTCCGCGGTGTATTTTATCTCGGGGTAACTGGGCAGAGGGCGTAAAGCGCTCTGTCACTATATGCTGGCCTCCGATTTAACGTATCACCACTGAATGAACTGCTGCTAATGCCTTTCCGTGCCCACAGGGAAGTTCTGCATGGGTTTTCAATTGTCAGTGACGAAAAGAAATCTCTCAAGGTCGTCATGTGATGCATGGTCACTCCCAGCCATCCAGTGATGGCTGCAACTCACTTTAAACCATCTAAGCGGTAGTTCATGGCCAAATCTACCAAGTCCCAAGTTCTATGTCCTCTCCGACACGACATGCCTTTCCGTTCTGCATCATGTCAGGGCTCAGGCTCGTTGCTGTTCAACTGACAGCCCATTTAGCAAGGCAATATCCCTTTCGTGCCCTCCTCTCCCCCGTCCTAACAGAACCTTCCGCCTCTCCTTACCGGTCAAATTAACATCTCCCTTATAGCGACCTTCGTGACCCCGAACCCTTGTGTGGTCCCACCACACCCCAAACACCAACAACATAACTCTGCTGACCTGGCGGCATGTGATTCGTCCCAGCAAAAGTGCGCAGAGGCCTTACAGAACCTACCCTGTCCTCAGTGACCATCGGCCCCACGGTATCCGAGGGGCCGGCAGAGGGGCCAATGGAGCCACCTCGGAATGCCAGTGAGAGGGGCGCGGCTGGTCAAAGATCGCCCGGTGCGGCTCCCGTGTGGCGCGCGCTGCCCGTTTTGGACCGGTCCGCTCGGCCACTGACCAGTGCGTCATGCCGTCGATGCTAAACGAAATAGGTGGAATGCCACTGGTGAATATGCGATGGGATTGACGTTGAATGCTGATGTGAACCGGTGAGGTGGTGCCGGCGAGGATGACGGTATTTTCAAGGAGTGGTCGCCGATTGAGATGGAACTGGGGGCTCGTCGGGGTGGCCACGGGTGCTCGCTGGGTTGTATTTGCATTTGCGAGCCATTCATTTGAGCTGGGTGCATGCGATTCACTCGAGCGTGACTCAAGACGAAGTCACGTGGATCGGCGAGTTGTCTCGAGGTAGGAGTAGAGATCACCGTCAACAGTCACACTCTGTCCTAACACGAGAGTGAGACTGAAGCATTATGATCATGTATGCAGGGTTACTTTTAAAGGGGGGGAAAGGGGGAATTTCCCCCCTTCGAAAATTCCGCTCCCCCTTTCAAATTCTGCGTGAACGGCTAGGGAGGGAAGGGGGAATTTCCCCCTTTCAAATTTATTTTTGAGCCCATTTTCAATCAATTCGCTACTCAGATTGTATAATCATCGTTAATCAGACTCTAGTCATCAATCAACGTTGCTGGCGCTTAGATAATTTTCAATTTGAGGTTCCATCCAACCATTTTACGTTCAGTGCAGCGGGAACTCCAGATTTGACCCGATACCGATCGGATGGTCGGTGGGACCGTCTCTTGTCTTGTCTCTTCCGTCTCTTCGCAATCACTGACATATCTCTACAGGCGTTGTTGTTGTTGTTGTTTCTCCCTCTGCTCCTCATGGGAGCATAGCCAGGCGGCTCTGGAAGCGTCTGGCGGCGGCCGCCAGGGCCGCCACCACTGAGGTCTCCCGGACCTCCTCCAGCCTGGGATGGATGTGACCCAGGGTTGCATGTCTCAGTCGCATCAGTGCCGGACATCTCAGCAGCACGTGTGTCGGCGTGTCAGGCTCCTTATTATTATTATAATAACAGGGGGCAGCGGGCCGCCACACAGCCCTCGTCTCGGCAGCCCTCACATCCCACAGAGTGAACGGCACCGATCCTGTGTAGACCAGTGCCCGGCTCGCAGCTGGTGGACGTCCACCGCTCTCTCCCGGTCCAGCCCCGCCACCGGTGGGGGGAATCGGCCCCCCACCAGCGACCGGAACCAGCCGGGGGGCCAGGCCCGGACCGTGTCGTCGCGGGCGGCCCTAGCCACCGCTCGGGTGATTGTCCTGATGTCTGCAGGCACGCTGTCTTGTGGTAGATCCGCGGCCTCTCGGGCCACCCTGTCGGCTCGCTCATTACCCTCCACACCACAGTGCGAGGGGACCCACTGGACGTGGATCGTCCGGCCATCATCCGAGAGGGCGGACATGGCTCTCCAAGCCGCTACTTCCAGCGGGGAGGTCTGGGCGGCCGGGCCGTTGCGCAGGGTCGCCACCGCTGAGAGGCTATCCGTGCAGACCACGATGGGCAGGTCCTGGTCTCTGTCTTTTTGGGTTAGGGTCTCCAGGCCGGTCACCAGCGCTACCATCTCTGCGCGGTAACTGGAGCATAGCTGTCCGGCCGGGGCCCGCAGCTCCTCGGCCTCTTCATCCGGCCAGACCAGCACGGCCCCAGCTCCGCCCCCTCGAGACTCCGCCCACCGCTACAGGCGTCGGCGTAGAAACCGGCAGGGGACGGGGGTCATGAATGACCTCTCCGAACCAAGGGGTTTCCTTCGAACCAGGGTCCTTCAATTCAATCGGTGTTGGCCTAGCAAAAATAGTCACGTGTTAACCTCCCTCTATTTAGAAAGGCGCTACTTGATGTTTGGCCAGGGTAATAGGTTGATACTACTGATTGACATTTGCAAGGGCGCAGTCAAGTTGGGACCTCCCCCGCCCCTTACCGCCAAGGTAGGTACCTACGTATATTTTTTAGCTATTTTTTGCAACCTAACAATATAAAGTGGCCAGAATCCGGGGAGAGAGTAGGATTTGGGGGTAGGTAAGGTTCTGCAGGCGCCATCCTAACAAAAACCTAATGGCATTGGGCCCCCCCTTTCAGATGCCCCTGGATCCGCCCTTGCCCCGAACTTTATTCCCCCTCTCGACTTTTCCTGTAAAAGTAACCCTGCATGTATGTGATGACTGTGGTATAGCTAACATGTGATAATAATAATTGTATCGTGGTGGTAAGTAATAGGTAGGTATCTGTACGGAATTAAGCATACTTAACATCGACTCAGGTCGTTTCAGGAAAAAATATTGATACCGGAAAGCCGGAGAGTAAAACCGACGGTAACGAATATTGACCCAGTGACATGCCCAGATCTGACGACTGACCAATTGCTTGAAGCACACACACTGGGCGTTAGAGCTTCAACTCATGCTGCCCCCCCCCCCCCCCCGTCACCTCACCCCAGCTCCGTGCCGGTGACCAGTGTCCCACTCTGCAAGTGCTCGTACCGGAATGATGTCGACTCAGCCCCGACTCACCGATCGCTTCGTCAGCCCGAGTCACCGATCTGACTCACTGCTCAGCCGACTCACGGGAGACGGTGTTATGAGTGACGCTGTGCTGACGCAGCGCGATGCAATACTCTCGGCCGACCATGTTGGGTTGGTAAGGGGCACCCACGGGGTCGCGGAGACGTAGTCACTGCGGTTACGGAAAGTCCCGGATACCACACAGAGTGGTGAGTGGTGACAACGGCAATCTGACCGGCAGTTGTTATAAGACGTGGAGCTCGGTCAAAGGAGGTCGTGGAGGGGAGGGGTGGGTGACCACTGACCAGAGATCTTGGGTCTCATTAGTCAATAGTCAGACCCTACTGAGCAGTGAGCACCCTATTACAAACTGCTTCAGCTCCTGAATTATTATATTTTGATTGATGTGAGGAGCAAGCAGCAACGCTTCAGCCGTGCCCCTCTGCCTTATAATTACGGTTCATCACGTTAGGTTCTTGTCGTTCGTGTCTGGAAGAAGGCGGCTAGAAATTAAAATATTGCTGTAGGATGCGCTCAATATAGACCCCTGAACATCTTCTGATAAAATCACAATTCAGTGTGCCCTAATGATACGATGAGGAAGGCTAATGTTTACCCCATCGTCACCATCGGGCTACTGGTTGCGTAAATCCCTAAAATCGGCTACTCTAATGGTCCGCAGATAGTAGTTCAGCGTTTTCCC